AAATGAGGACCCAGACTGTGGGGGCGGATATGCTGACTCTGTAAACCGCTTAGAGAAGGCTATAAAAACACTATGGAGTGGTATATAAATCTAAGTGCTATTGACCTCCCTTCCTTCCTTCCTTCCTTCCTTCCTTCCTTCCTTCCTTCCCTCCTCCCTCCCTTCTTTCCTCCTTCACTCAGCCTTCCATCCTTCCGAGGTGGGTGAAATGAGGACCCAGACTGTGGGGGCAAGTTGCTGACTCTGTAAACCGCTTAGAGAAGGCTATAAAAACACTATGGAGTGGTATATAAATCTAAGTGCTATTGCTCTTCCTTCCTTCCTTCCTCCCTCCCTCCCTTCCTTCCCTCCTCCCTCCCTTCTTTCCTCCTTCCCTCAGCCTTCCATCCTTCCGAGGTGGGTGAAATGAGGACCCAGACTGTGGGGGCGATATGCTGACACTGTAAACCGCTTAGAGGGGGCCGAAAGCCCTATGAATAGCAATAGCAGTTAGACTTATATACCGCTATGAAGCGGTATATAAGTCTAACTGCTATTGCTATTATTCTTTGGCCACCTCAAATAACCCCAGTAGTCAACAGCTGTTTTGGCTACTGTCATCAAAGCAAGTCTTTTCCTACATCATTCCTTAACAATCTTTTCACATAGGACAGGCGTCCCCAAACTTGGCAACTTTAAGACTTGTGGATTTTAACTTTCAGAATTCTCCAGCCAGCTCTGCTGGCTGGAGAATTCTGGAAGTTGAAGTCCATAAGTCTTAAAGTTGCCAGGTTTGCAGACCTCTTGACGTAAGGATATGGAAAGAATATCTTCCCATTCCACCTGTTCCCTTCCCCTTTTTAATGGATATATTTGGATTTTTACTTCCATTTAATGCAATGTTTATTACGGACGCTGGTGCTGTTTCTACTGGAAACCGCTTCAAGGTACTTTGCAACAGGATAACACTTTTAGAAATCTATTAAATAATAAATCTATTCCAAAGAAAGATTTCAAAGAAACCTTGAGGGAAACGCTTCGCGATCAAAACCCTTTATTTTCTTTTAATGAATTCCACTTCAGTTTATCAATGGCTCTTGTCTATCCACTTGGAAAAAGCAGGAGAGAGAGAGAGAGAGATCAAGGACGGGGTGGAAAAAAGACAGTTTGGGACAATTTTAATAGAGATGGTTGTTATGCCTTATTCATCACCCTGTCAAATGTACAGGTAAAGTTAATAATCTTTCTTGTAAGTGATAATTATGATTAGATTCTCAAGCTATTTGCATCAGCCATCTGATCTCTCTCTATCAACTCCAAATGTCAAGTTATACACCCAGCATTCTGACATTTGAAATCCCAAGGGAATCCAAGCTGAAGAAATGTTGTTGGGTTTTTTTAAAATCCATTTACGGAGTATTTAAAACTTAAAATATTTCAAATGGGCTTATTCCTTTTCAGAAAAAATGTCAAAGGAAATCTTCCCAAGAACTGGTGGATTCTTCACAACTCCCCTTTCGCCATCCTTGGGGAAGGGAACCATACGGTGAATCTCACCAGAAGAGGCGCAGCGATGATTATTTCTCTGTTTGTGCAGGGGAAGGGGAGGGGAAAACCCTTTGGGAGTCAAATGCTACTCGTCCCACTGTTAAATTCCTCCCTCACGCCAATTGCCGGACTCGTGGACCCAAAATCCAGTCACCCACGCAACAGAATGTAGAAGAACTGTGATGGCGAAACTATGACACGCGTGCCACAAGGTGGCATGTGGAGCCATTTCTGAGGACACATGAGGCATGCATGCACGCCCTGGCCAGTTGATTTTTGGCCATCTTTCGCCCTTCGGAGGCTTCCCTGAAGCTTCCGGAGGGAGAAAAACCGCCCAACGGGCAACCTGGATTTCCCAAACTTCCAGTTTGCACGTTGGGCTGTCCCCTCCCACCCCACCCCACCTCCTGCACCCCTAGAAAGCCTCTGGAGCCTGAAAAACAGACCTACTGCCTCCACTGGAAGTCGGAAAATGGACTGTTTCTGACCTCAGGAGGGCCTTCGGGGGGGGGGAGGCCATTTTTGCCCTCCCCTGGGTCCAAGAAAGCTGTGTGTGCATGCATGGGGCAGCAGGGGAGGGGGTTGTCACGCGTGCATGCGCAGGGGGCACAGCACAGGGGGGGAGCATTAAATTATGGGGGTGGGCCTGCATTTGGCACCTTAGGCGAAAAAAGTTCATCACTGTAGTAGAACTTCCATTTAAAGGAATGTTATTTTTCCACACATACGGTGTCGTATGTACAAAGGAAGGGTGTTCTTCAGCACGCGTGCCATTTCGGTCAGCATCCGTTATAAAAACGTGTTGCATTTGCCGTGGGAAAACCTGGTGTTTAAGTCTCTGGAGCGTTTTATGAGGGCTTTCTTTCGGGCTTCGTCAATCTGGTGGACCTGAAGGTCCTGGTCTCGGTCGAAGGGCCTTCTCTCCTGGGGCTTATTCTTCTCCCCGTCGGTTTTGCTCTTTAGCTTCTTCCGATGTAGGTCCAGCAGGGATTCAGATCTCTGGGAATCCTGGGATTTTAGAATATTTAGAACAATAAGCATTACAAGAATTAGAAAGCTGTTAAGAGTTAAATCCACTGGTAATAGGTATAGTTAAATAAAAATTGATGATGATAGTAATGTATAAGTAAGGTTATGATAAGTAAGGTTATGATAAGTAAGGTTCCACCACAAAACCGCGGTAGACTAAAGCGCGTACGTGACGTCATCACAGCGCGACAAAAACAGCACGCTGTGAGTGGTATATAGATAAATAGAAAGAAAGAAAAAGGAAGGAAGGAATTTGATTTGATTGTATTTCTATGCCGCCCTATTCCCAGAGGGACTCAGGGCAGCTCACAAACCAAGTAAAGGAGGGAGGGGATACAAACAGGGGGAAAAGACAACGGACAAACAACACAACAATTTAAAAACAATCAACAGCCACACAATTCGAGCGGGNCTCAGCCTTCCATCCTTCCGAGGTGGGTAAAATGAGGACCCGGATTGTTGTTGGGGACAAATATGCTGACTCTGTAAACCGCTTAGAGAGGGCTGGAAGCCCTAGGAAGCGGTATATAAGTCTAACTGCTATTGCTATTGCTATAGGGTGAAAACCCAAGTACATTTCACCAACAATCTGGTAATCTACCTAATCTCACACAAACTTTTAACAAATCTACAATAAAAGGAAACAAGATGAATATTCCATAATGATTAGAAAGACTTTCACCTCATTAAGTCCTAGTTAGTATTACTTCAGAGATGTTTGATCAATGAATAATTTGTTTATTGAATAAATAAAACTATTTTGGAGCTCTCCGGTTTACCCTCCCTTGATAGGGGGGTCTCTCCGTTTTGGCTGGTGATTCTGGGAGTCCCTATTTCAGCACATCTGGATGGACAATGACCAGAATTCTCCCCCCCCCCCCACACACACACTTTTTTTTTAAAGGAAATTGTCCACTTACATTAGTTGTTTTTTTGTAATAGTCGATGTTATGGACGTCTCTGGCTAGGCCAAAGTCCGCTATCTTCATCACGTGGTCTTCCGTGACCAGAACATTTCTGGCAGCCAGGTCCCGGTGAATGCACTGCAAAGAAATAGTTTATAAATCATGCACAGATTAAAATGTTGTTTAAAAAAGTTATAACCGATACTCGGATCAATAAACAGCTATATTCTTCATTACAAATCCGAAAAAGAAATCTTTTTAAACTCCTTGTACTTTGGAGTATAAATTGGCTTCAGCCACACTGAGACTTTCAATTGAGTAGCAGCTCTTTGTATCTTGTTTGTAACTCTGTGAAGTCCTCTGCTTACAAGAGTTCATTTAGCAACGGTTCAAAGTTACCAACAGCACTGGAAAAAGTCACCTTTCACATGAGATCACTGCAGCATCCCCCATTGTCACGTAATCGAAATCCAGCCGCTTGGCAACTGGCCCGTACTTATGACGGTCGCAGTGTCACGTGATCCACTTTTGCGACCTTCTGACAAGCAAAGTCAATGGGGAAGCCAGATTCGCTTAACAACGGGGTTACAAACTTAACAACTGCGGAGAGTCACTTAACAAGCGCGGCAAGAAAAGTTGGGAAAAAACGAGGCACAATTCAGTTAGCAACCGTCTCCCTTAGCAACGTAAACTTTGAGCTCCATTTTGGTTGTAAGACGAGGACTAAGAATTTCTTTTGTTGGAGATGCATTAAAAAAAACAACCCTCTGAATCTTCCTTGTTCCATCTGATTTGATCTCCGAATTACTGGATTTTCCAGGCAGGAATAACATCTTATTAGGCCAGAAGATTTATAGGGAAGTCCCTCAATGTTAAAGATGTTATTGTTACGTTGAATGATGTTCCAAAACTCTGGAATTTGACTGTCTTTGAGGACTTATGGTTATGCTCAGACTGGGGCATTGCCAAAAGAATTATTTTGAGAAAATACGGATAATGGATCTGGTTGTTGTTTAGTTTTTAAAAAGGCAATTTTCCCCAATAAATAGAAAATGAAGCAATGTGTTTCCCGTTGACCCAGATTTCACCATATTTTACAATAGAGCAATTTCATCATTGTTCTATTTAACAATAAAGGGCCTTATTTTTCTGTACAGCTTTGTGAAATATAAGCAACATATTTAAATCCTTAGTCGTTTCTTTTCAGCTTCCTTCTTTCTTTTCTGTTTATATTTTTTCTTATAATTTAGTAGTTTTCCGCTTTTTCATTGTTGTGGATTTTTTAAAATCCAGTTGCCAACGTGAAGAACTCTGGCTTGAATCCCCCCCCAACTCCATTATGAGAGGAGCAGATGATCCCACTTTGCTTATGAATCAGATCAAGAGGCCCAAGTCAGTTCCTGAACCAGTTAATCCAGAGATCCCATTAAGGAAAAGCCTCTAATGCCAGTGAACCCATGAACAGTCCTTACAGCTCTCCTTAAACTTACTTTTCTCCAGAATTTATTCATTACTTCCATACAGGTAGTCCTCAACTTATGATGGCCTTGGGACTAGAACTCCCGTTACTAAGAGAAGCAGTTTTTAAGTACAACTGCATCATTTAGCAATACCAATTCTGCAGTCCTGGTTGCCATTGTTACCCAAATGCCACCGTCACAAGGCGAGGCGACTTCCCGCAGGCTTTCCACAATCCAAATCTGTGGGGAAGCCGGCAGGAAGTCACAAGTCCCAGGCAGGTAATGGGTGCTGCCCGATGGGAGAGGGAGGGAGAGGGTGCAGGAAAGGATGGGAAGGGGTGCATGAGGAACGGATCAGAGAGGACGAGGGGCATGGGTGGTGAGGCGCAACATGGGTGCGAGGGGGTGTTCAAGGCGCAGATCAGGGAGGGTGTGAGAGGCGTGGGCGAGGGACAGCGTGAGGGTCGGTGTAAGCTGTGGGATGCACAAAGGGGTGCACCACAGGTGAGGGAGGGTGCAGGAGGCATGGTGCAGGTTGGGGTGGGTGCATAAGAATGGAAGGTGGCCCAGGACAGGTGTGGTGAGGGTCAGGTGTGCGAGTGGCACTAGGGCAGAGGGGCTGCGTGAGGGCGTCTTGCTGGGGAAGCTGGCAGGGAACGGTGACCGCGTGGTGGAGAGGTCCTGGCACCGGTTGTATGTGCAATTGCCAAGCATCCAGATGGCAATGGTGTTCCACAAGGTGCGGGGAGGTCCGGAGTACCTGTCTAGGCTCTTCAACCTCAATTTTGTTTCAGGCATCTGGCCGTGAAATTAATTAATTCCGCTTAATTTTTCTCGCTCTCTCCAAGGCGCAGTAGACACCCCATACTTTGTGCGTCCTTCCTTTCAGTTAACCAAGGGAATAAAATATATCATCTTCAAACCAACTTTTAGCCGTTCCATCTCCAAGACGGAACTTTGCATGCTAATTGCCTTCCAAATAAATATCATTTCAGCTTCTTCTAGAGCAGTGTTTCTCAACCTTGGCAACTTGAAGATGTCCGGACTTCAACTCCCAGAATTCCCCAGCCAGCATTCGCTGGCTGGGGAATTCTGGGAGTTGAAGTCCGGACATCTTC